ATGCCTGCACTTTTAGAGGTAATGGGCTGAATTTCATGAAACTATAGTAAGAAGCTTGTGGAAAAATGCCACATACCCATTGCTAAAAAGCAATTCTAACAAATACTAAATAAATTTATGTAAACTGATAAATTTCAATAAAGTTTGAATTTTATATAAATATTCTGATCTCTCATTCCTCTCGCATTTTGAAATTATTTTTCTAATCCTACCTGAATTAAAGGTTTAATTTGATTTAATGTTTGACTTTTTATATTTTAGAATTTACTTTCCAACTTCAAAAACGCTCTCTTAGCGCCCTCTACTGGTAAAACAGTGAAGTACAGTATTAACCCGGAAGTGCTTCTCTTCTTCCACTGCTGCACGTGCGAGGAGGCGAAGTCTGACATTCGGTCCCATAAGGAGGTTGTTTATCATTTAATTGCTTTTTATTTTTCCGTAATCAAACAACCTTCTGGTTTATATCTAAAGCTTCATCTAAGGATGATATTTCTGAGCTATAAAGCTGATTTGAAGCTAATTTTTAGTCCTTTAAACACGTTCGCTTTGATCATGACGTCACGTTCCCAGCTGTTTTTTTTATGTAACTGATGTTTTCTTTTCTATTTCATCCAGTTCTGCTCTATCCGACATGGGGAAGTCCAAACAAACGGGAAACCATAACAACGGCAGGAAGAAGAACATCTCAAAGAAGTGGAAAACGAAGCGGAGAAGCAAAGATCTGGACCAGATCCACTCCGACATGAAGCCAGAGACTGCAGCCAAACTGCTGCATCAGGAGGTGGACTATGACGTCACGGGATGCGCGCAGCATTACTGCCTGCACTGCTCGTAAGTGTTGGACCTTCTGCTCCTCCATGTTGTTTTGCTCTCATCAACAATGGCGGAACCAGACATCCCAGGTTCCAAACACTCATTTCAGGGAGTTGCTCACCACTTAAGCAACTTTTCATCAACTGTTTAATAACTAACAGCAATTTCTTAGACACCAAACAGTATTGGTCATTTATTTTCAATTTTCAATTCCTTAAATCTTGTAGCCTTGAAAGTCATCATTCCCAGCATGGCCGGTTCTAGATAGGGGCCAACGGGGGCCAGTGCCCTTGTAGTTCATGTCCTGGCCCCTGTCATTAGATTAGATTAGATTAGATGAGCTTTATTGATCTCACAGCGGAGAAATTCACTGGTCACATATTGGCATAGTAATTAAAGAAGCTGCAAACAAGGAGGAAAAGGTGCATTAAGTATAAACAACATATATACAGTATGTCAAGATAAATAAGGATTGAGGTGCAAGTGTACATGTATCACACACAATGAAAAACTAAATAAAAATAAGAAATAAAAAAATTTAAAATACAAGGGAGTAGCACAGAGGTTTGCGGTGTAATATGTACAATCAGGGTGGCTTATGTACAGGTGGATTTACTTTTACATTAAAGGAATAGTACACCCAAAACATGATTAGCCTTCATTTTCTACTCACCCCCATGCTGAACAACACTCTGGA